CGGTGTATGGGATGAAGCACAGCTTGGAAAATCCAGCTTTGTGAACACTGAACACTAAAGCCTGACAATATTTGCCCTGTAGAAATGCTATCAGGAACATCATCTACAAAAATTCTTCCAAGAACCAAGTTCGTGGTAGGTTTCAGATCCCGCTTATCATCATCAGTGCCAAGTGGATTCTCTCCATACACCCCTTCCACCTCCCTGCTTCAAGGTCACCCCATAGCATGTTGTTTACCAGGGGGTAGGACATGACTGTCAGTGTGAGCTAGCTTAATTTTGCACTGGAGCTTTGTGTCCCAGACAAAAATCCAGGCTGATTCTGCATAAAAACTCCCCCAGGAAAGTTGCAAAGCTTGTTTTAAAGGCTGGAAAGCTTTGGGGGGAAGGCACTATGCAAGCAGTAGGATCTGCCCTCTGGAAGTCAGTTCATATGTGTGTGGTTTTCTTTATTATTGGCAGGAGAAAGTCAATCTGTGTGTGTTATTTTTTATTACCAGCTGGAGCAAAGATGAGTCAGTCACACAGGGCACACAAGTCCCTGCTTATCTTGCCTCTCTGTTCTGCTGGAGGAATGCTGAGCTCTCTAATAATCACACAATTCAATTGACCATCATGAGGATGCAGAATCATCCTGGATTTGGACTGTTTTCTGTTCTGCTGCGAAAGCACCAGAATGTATAGTCCTGCACTCGCTCTCAGGGCTGCAACTGTAGCATTTGTGAGAGTAGAAATTGTCTTTAAAGACTGCAGGAATAAGTACTGCAGGAAGCAGTTTTGGTGTTGGTTTTTTTTTCCACTGAAATGATAGGGATAGTTTCCTAAAAATTGCATTTCTAAGTGGAACTGGTTTTGGATATTGTGCTAATAAGCTACTGGAGCTGTCTAATGCTGCTGCCTTATTTAAAAAAACCCATCCAAACACAAGCTTTCAAAACAAAACCACAATTTCCTTTTGTCTATAAAATCAATTTCCTTCTCTTTATTTACTCAACTCGAACCAGACATGTTTTCACAACAGAACTGGTTTTGTATTGCATTTGGTGCATGTGTAATGTGCTCCTGGTAGTTGCCCAGTCATGTTCTCTTCCTGCATGTGCAATTTGGAAGGGTGGATTTCTTCTCCAAATGGTTATCTCCTGAAGCAGAGGAGCTAAAGACCACTTGGGGGTGCCTGTAGCTGTCCTGGGCAGAAAGCAGGTGGTGTTTTGGTGAGGGTTCCCTGTTACATGTAAGCAGTGGATGTTACACAGATGGCTTCACAGTGGATATGTGCTGGGGCTCTAACTAGCCTTGAGGATGTTTGTCCTCAAAATCCTTGGTATGTTCAAATCCCTTTGAATGCTTTGGCAACAGCTGTCGATGCAATATGCAAAGCCTAACCCCTTGCCTACAGTTAGTAAACATGATTAGTTTGATTTCTCTGAGGCTTGAAGTTCCTTTATGTTGTCATTTGCTGAAATCACAAGGAAGTTAAGCTCCTAATTCAGATCTGTAAGTGCTACAAATGCCTAGCAAAGTTGAAGGAAGCTGTAGCCAGTGATACTGGGATGTAGCTACTTATCCCAGGGGAAAACTTAAAATCAACAAATGCCTGGTGAAGAAGCATAAGAGAAAAAAAATCCAATTTTCAGAAAAAGTGGCTAATATTATACACAGAGGCTGGGAATTTTGCTGCCAATATAATAGCTTGTATGAAACTGTGAAGTATACCTTCTGTATACCTTCTGTAGAGTAACATATCCTACTAAGGTGTGTGGGGGGAAACACAACACACCAAAACCTCTATGAAACAGCAAAATTATGAAGCCGTTTAACTCCAGTGCTATCAATAAATTATTATGTGTGCTTGTGGGACTTCCCCCTACAGAATCAAGAAAAAGTCCAATGAACACCACTTTTGTAAATATAAGGGGAAACTAAAACCCAAGAACATTCCCTTTTATGGCAGGTTTTAAATTGTATGAGTCAGGGTGAAATCATCACTTGACTGAGACCCATTTGACAGGAATGCTGCAGGTGGGTGTTTTGCTGAAGATGTTTAGGAGCTGAAATGGTATTGTGCCACATGGATAATAAAGCACCTGGGGTATTCAGTGGAAAGTGTAATATGAATAGGACTCAAATACCACGTGTCCTCATGGCAGAGAAGCAATTGCACAGGGCAGATTATTTTGTTTAGTTACACCCTGTAGAAATCGTAAAAAAGCTGGCATAAATGGACAAAATGGGTTGCAGTTATCACTGCACAAGGAAATACAGGGACTTCAGATTTTCATTCACCATTCAGGAAACGACACAGAACTAGTTAAGGTGCTATAACTCCTCTACGACTATTTTGAAAAAATAGAGAAGCTTAAATTTTTAGTATTTGAACTATCCAAAGATAGAAGTGATTTCAGTTACATCTGTTAATTGCTGGAGAGTTTCATGACAGGCTTATTAACAACTTTGCGGTAATTGAACAGACAGAAGAGTAAAATCCTTCGTCCAAGGATTATGGAAAATGAGTCATCATTGTATCAGGAATAGATTAAAGTATCTTGTATGAAATAGGGTGTTACTGCAGGATTTTACATGGAACAACTGCAAGAGATTAAATTGGATTGAAAAAAATGACATGCATGCAGATTTTAAAAAAAAGAGAGAGAGAAAGAGTGTGAAATAGCACTTAGGTTAAATTTAATATCTAGGGAAACAAAGAGGAGAGATTTCTAAGCTTTGTAAAGCTTTGTGCTACCAGTGGTCAGTAAGAGAAGATGCGAAGGACTCGGGCAGTATGCCTGATATTCCTCATGCAGAGGAGCCCATGTGGCAATCCCAAATCTGAAATAGGCAGGGGACTCATTCTGAGCTCGCCAGTTCATCATTCTCGTGGTGTTACCCTGGGATCACAGCAATTCCCTTGGACAGAGAAAAACATGTTGGCCTTGTGAATAGAATACAGAGCATTTGTTCCAAGACGTGTATGGATCACCAAAAACATGCCGGGGTTTGTTTTGGTGTCAAATGAATGCTCAGGATAGCCTTCATGAGGTTATAGACTGCTTCGTAATCCCACGGTGCCCAAAGCACCAGGAGACACTTGGATAGCTGGCTGTAATAGCAATAGGACAAAGAACTGATGCCAAAATGGTCTTTGTTGGCCAGTGTGAGTCTTTGCTGGAGATAATGCCTTGAGGCATGGATTATGACCCAGTGCAAGCTGCCCTGTGTGGTGCTGCCGTGAGCACTTGCACTTGGACCACCAGCTACTGCCATCTCTCTCTTCTCCACAAGAACCCTTCAACTGTGGCACCAGGAAGGTGGCTCCTATGGAACTCTGGCCACACGTGCTCCAGGAGCGGATGGGAAAGCCACTTGAATAAAAAAAAGTACCATCTGGAGACTTCTGCACTAAGCAAGGACAATTTCTTACATAAACATTATACACTCATACTACAGACATGGGTTTTCAAAGTGCAATGCCTGTCCCAACAAGTTCCTTTGTATTTTAGGGAATGACAGCCACTCCACAAAGACCTGGATGGACACATTGGGAGGAATCCCTATTTTGTTGCAGTAGATTGCCTCTCTGATTACTATAATGAGCAATTCAGACCACAGACAAATTTTTCTGTACAAGTGGTATAAGTGTTAATGTTAGGTTTCAAGGCAGGTATTCCTATAGGTGACAAATAAACACACTTCCCATCCAAAGGAAATGAAGTTTTATTAAAAAGCAGGAGAGACCATGTCGCTCCCTCTACTTCCTTCCTGATCTACTCTTCTCAGTGCAAAAGAAATAAAAACACTCATGAGAAAAAAATGAAATACTATCAGTCAGAGAGTGAGTTTTTGGTAATATAAGCTGAATGTTTGATGTTACAAACTCAAACCCACCAGCTTTTTACCATAGCAGATATATGGCATTACATCAAGCATTGCTTGCTGTAAAATATCTAAAGTTCCACATTTCAAATATACTACTTTCATTGCATGACTGTTTCCCATAAAGACAAAGGTAGCAATTCCTGAATATTTCTTTTTCTGTTGCTTCTTCAAAATGCAGTCAGTATTCTGTAAAGTGAAATAGTTGATATTCAGAATACGCTGTATTTAACTAGCTGCGAGGTAATATTTGGAAGAAGGCATGGGATGCTAGCTCTATAAAATTCCTTTTTAGTCCGTTTATTGAACTTCTGATGAAGCTGTTTAGTTAGCTGTATTTAACAGACGTGTAGCTTAGTATGGGATGTAACAAGAAAGTCTTTGCAAACCTTATCCCACCGACCAGCTCAAGTGTGTGATGTTGGAGACCTCTGACAGGAATGTTAGAAGAACACGGTCAGGGAGAACTTACTCAAGTAAAATTTAACATACAACTGCTGGGTGATGTGTTCACTTTCCCTGCAGAGGATGTCTACAAAGAGATATATTACCTATTACAGACTTTTTTATGCAGACAAATTGCTTTATGCTTAAAGGAGGATTAAGAAATGGCTAGTTGGCAACCACGGAATTGCAGCCTGAACCTTCAGCCTGATGTTAGGATATTTCTGCATTAAAACTACCCATGGTTCTGTGGAGCGTAAATGTAATGTCCTGTGGTTCTGATCCGACCAGGATTATATCTCCATGGAAACTTTACCATTAGCCTCTTGCACATCATTAATAATTTGACAGCAATCAAAAAAAAAAAAAAAAAAAAACCCAACAGTATCTGCAAGAGAGAATATAGATGTTAGAGGATACTTGTCTATGTCTAAATACATGAAAATAGCTCAGGTTTATAGTTCTCTGCCCCAGTGCTGGAAAGAGTTAGACTTTCCCTGGAATTCCACTTGCAAAGTCTTATTTGCATGATAGAATTTAATCATCTGATAGATCCTGTTGTCTTCAGTTACTTCAAGCATGTATGTTAGGCAGGTACTTCATGCTTAGTGAGCCTTGACTACTCACCCTCATTTACTGTGGTGAATGGAAGGAGAAGACAATTATCTCTCTAATTTGATTCATAGAATCTGTGAGTGAAGTCTTGGATGTTGCAGCTTCTTCCGCCCTTGAGGAAAACTCAGACAGTGGCGAGGAAGGAGCAGCCTCAGCAGCTCAAGAGCTTTCTGACACAGCCTCCGAGAGCCAGGACGCTGATGCTGAGGAGTCGTGGCAAACTGCAGAAGGTGCAGGAGTACAGCTGGGTCTGAAATGCCTTGTCCCTGAAAAGCTGATGGCTGTGTGCACTGAACTGGCTGCGAGAGCATGCAGAGCTCAAGTGGTGCAATGTGGCTGCCCGTGCTGGCTGTGTTTGGCATCGCAGTGTTAGCAGAAAATCTAGTTTTGAAACTATATGCTGTGCAGTAGGAATAGGTTGTTACTAGGTTGGATCATGGTGGTGTGTTGAGCTCAGTGCCCTGCTAAGTAAGTGGCTAGATGTGAACTTCGTTAAGAACAAGAAATTCTCCTTGTGCTGCCTGTAACACATTTTTTTCAACATCTGACTTAATTTGAAAGATGGAATTTTCTAAAGTTACGTGGGTGTAAATAAAAATATATCTCGTGTGGTATTAATAAACCTTGCAGTGTTTCGATGGAGCAATAAACAATCTTATATTATTGCTATTGAAGTTGAATGATGTAACTGAATGCAAAGAAAAATGTGTGTTAAAATCATCACTGCGGAGATTTTCAAAGGAGTTTAGAAGTTTGGCCTCTAAACTCTTTTAAAACTAGAATTAAAAAGCTAAAAGAAAAAGTGTCTGTATAACTAATATGACTTTGTAAATTGTATCCCTTTAGTCCAAAGGATCCTTTGGACTAAAGGAAACAACTTACTTGACTATTTTTCATTGAATAAGTTGTTTCCAATGTTTTTCACTGGTGTTTTGTCTCCATTTTCAGTTTCTGAGGAGGAGAAGACACCTGAAGAATCTGCTAAAGACCCCTAAAGGTACACAGTACAGTTGCAGCACGTGGTTTCCTGCTCTTCACCTATCTTTTTTTCCTCAGTTAGTGGCAATTTGCAGCATGTGGTAAGTCTGCACATGCACTGTGATGGTGAATTTGTATTTCTGCTCCCAACAAAAAAAGAACTTTATTGAAGTATTTCTTAATTTTGGGGAACCATTGCTGGCATCTTTTAGAGTCTTGGAAGCAAAACTTTCCTATCTCAATTGTCATGTTGGGTTTTATCCAATGCAAAATGGATAAAGACCTGAGATTTGTAGCTTTCTTCTAGGCAAAAATATTCTTTGGACTTTTGATTTAAATTATACAGCTACTGGACTTCTGAATTACTGGTCTATACAATAGAGCAATAGCCTTCTGGACTGTTTTATTTTAAATACCTTTTTTCACAATTAGTGTGTCTGCACTTTTAGTGTGTGCTAATGAAAATTACTGAATATAATACTCATTCTATTTTGCTAGTGTCTTTGTCAGTTGAGTTTATTTTTTTTTTCATTGTCAGAAAAGTTGTGCCTCCCAAGGTTGTTATTTTTGCTCAAAGTGAAAGCTAAGGGTACCTGAGGGTATCACATCAGGAAACCAAGTTACCAAGAAATTGTCTCCGCTATGGAACACATTAATGCAGTGATATAGAGAAAGAAATTGAGTTAAGAATCCTTTTTTTTCCCCCTTGTAAACATCTGGCAACTCCACAAATTGTCTCATTGCTATTCCAGATTTTCATTTAGACAACAAATACCCAATATAGCCTCTTCAATTAATGAAGGCAGAGACAGTAATTGAAAAGGGTGGGAGTGGCAGGGAAGGCAAGCTGTGGGAAGCACTTTTGAGGGAACAAGTTGAAAATAGATGAAAAAATAGATTAATCTGCCACCAGAATACAGGTCCACTGAATTCTGCTTAAACTGCTTGGACTATTTTTGATCAAAAAATTACTTTTTATGAGTATAGCGTCACAAGGTTGCAAAAGGGTCTGTTATTGAGCTCCAATTTGATCTTGTTGGGTGTGGGGAAGAGATTTATAAAACATTTTACTACTTAGTGCTGAAAGATTACTGCCTGTCATTTTACCAATGTACAAGTCAAGAACCACGTTGCATTCCTAGTCAGGAAAGAATACTTTCTTCCTTTTATTTTTTTGTGTGTTTGTTTTGGTTGTAAGCACTTTGGAGTTTGGAGTGTGACTTCTGCATTGAAAACATCATACTTTTTAAGGAATTCAAGGCAAAGAAAAAGAAACAAAAAAAATGTCGATGTGAGAATCAAATCATTATACAGTTAATTTTTTAAAAAATACTAATAATTTGGCGAAGGGATAGAAGTGGTAGTGATGGAGTAAATCCTCAGATAAAGCCTTAAGTTGCTGCTGAGAGCGTGCCAGAGTAAGGATGTCCAGTTCTACTGTGTGTGGCTGTTGGCCCCAAACTGACACTGCTATGGAGCTACTTATATCAGTAATCTCAGCAAACACAATTGGTTTACTCTGTGCTTAAAGTTAAGCAAGTAGCTATTTGTGGAAGTAAGACTTAGTGGAACGTGTCCAGCACGCAGGTAAATTCACCTGTACCTGAGCAACGCTGATGAAGATTCGGGATTCCTTGAAATCTGGCTTCGTTGGTAGAAACAGAGCAAGTTTTCACAAGCCATCAGATAAGCATGATTTACAGAGCACTAGTGGTTATATGCTGTAATTCACTCAACTGACAACCCACAGTCAAATTTACAGTGTGCTTGGAATGTTTGGTCGTGTTTGTTGCTGAACATCACTTCTTGTTGCTTCCTCTAAACCGGATTCTTTTTTCTGTTCCCCAGTAAGCAGTGCTGAAGCCTTTGAAAAGTTTAACGGAAATATTTGTGGCAATCAACCAGCTGATTCCTGTGTGAAACCTCATACTCTTCCTTGGAGACATAAAAGAAACTGTGCAGTTTGTCATGCCACACACTGCTCATTAGGACCAGTATTCAGTGCTGCAACAGATAAGATTTAAGTTGCTTAGAGAGACGCTTCTGTGATTAACATCTCTGCTGTAGAAAGTAGCACCCAGTCAAAGCACCACTCAGCATGTCCTAAATACATGTGCTAAGAGAAGCAGTAGACTTAACTAAACCATGCCAGGTGAACTCCTTCTAGGTCTTTGTTGTCTCGTTATGTACACTGATTTCTTACTCTTGGTCCAAACTGCTGTGCGTAGTTATACCTTTGTAACATTCCATGCTAAAATCTAAGTAAAGGGGTTTAAATCAAGTCAAAATCTTTTAAAAATTACGTGTTAGCATTTTTAAATTGGATCACGGGGAAAACAGCAACCTGTTTGCTCTCAAGTTTGGATTTAAGATTGTAAGCATAGGACATCTGGCTGTACAATATCTAATTTTCCCCCCACATAAACATTTCAGATACTACCCTTCCTTGCACAAAATAATATCCAGGACTAAACATTTTTAAGGCTCCTTCTTTGGGAAGAAAACCTGTTTGCAAGTGCTACCAATAGGTACTTTATAGCATGACAATCAAAATAACGCCAGTTGATGTTACTGATCATGGATCGAAGTGGTGGCTCCTGCCTCGGGGATGCTGGGCTCTGCTCCTACCAAATCTCAAAATCCCAATGGAAGGCTATGCAACAGGTGTTCAAATGGACAAGGATTCTTAGGGACTAAGAAAGAACAGAATAGATAAATAATCTTGTGTTCTTAGTATTAACTTCATAAAGAATACACCTATTATGAATAATGGATTTGTATGACACTGTTCTCCTAACCCTCCATTGTGCTAAGTGCATGAGTGTGCATCTAAGACAAAATGCTGAGACCTGTTACAGCCACCACAGAATGGCAACAATTCTAAACCAGAGCCAAAAAAGGTATATTATATACTATTTATATAGAAAGTGTGCTTTATAAGGTGTATCTGACTCTTTTCTCTCCAAGCAGAACTCTGGAAAATGTTGAAAGGGAAATGACAGCATTATGACATTCCTACCTATGGCACAAAGCAACACATGCCGCTTCCCCCATCATAAAGCAAATTATAATAGTGTTCCAACAAAAATATAGCCCGTTGCCCCTGGACCTGCTTAGGAATAACTGGAATAATGCGGAGGCAAAAGCAGGCTCCTGAGCTTCGAGAAGAAATACCACGGCCTTCTGCTTAAAGGATAAAGCCACTGTGATTAAAAGCAATTTTTGTAGACAAAGCTACTGGAATAAAAGTCTTAGACTGATATTTTGTTGGATAAGAGTCTCTCTTTATTTATCTGGTAGATTAAACATCCTGTGACGGATGCATACTCTTAAATGTTCTATTTCTTAATTTTCACTTATTCCCAGTGAAAGAAGCTGTTTTTCTGCAGCAAGCAGCAGGGTTCCTGAAATCATAGACTTTGCTGAATGGCCCTTTATCTCTGGAACTGCTCTGGTACATGGCAAAATATGTTAGCCCTTTGGAACAGCTGCCTGAAGGATTGAATCACAAACTGTGGTGAGCTTTCCAAAGCTTTTAATCCCTCCAATTTTAAAAAAAATTGAGTCCCAGGATAGCTTTATGTCAGGGATCCTCTTTTTTGTTTGTTTTGTTTGGGTTTTTTAATTAAAAAAAAAAAAAAAAGAGAAGAAAAAGAAAAACATTACTCTTGAAAGCCAAAGGAACTAGGAATATATTATGAACTCTAGCTGTGATGACATGTAGCACAGCATGATCTGCTTCAGCTCTTGATTATCCTAGATTAAAAACAGAGACATTTTGCAATTCACAGAGGTCTGGCCATCGTTGAATATTTTCATCAGTCTTGCTAGTATCGAGTCTAATTACCACATAAATAAATATTTCTCTGTCCTTCACCTTCAAAAAAGTGAATTTTTGAGTTGCTGCACAAAGGCTGTGACCAACCATAGGAAATGTTGAAAGGGAATTTTTGAAATGGCTCGTTAAGGAGAACAAGGCCACAGCAGAGAACAGACATAACACAAGACTAAAGGAGGTGGGAGCAAAGGTTTGTTCTCGAGAATACATTTCAAAGGCCAAAGTAAAACTTGAGATTCACAAATTTGTCCAAACTGCACGTTTCTCCTTTGCTGTCAGCAAGTATCTGTGGAAACAGCTGGCAAAGCATTTCACGTCCCTCTAGCGCTGGTTATCGCGAAGGGGGACAGCCTGCTGCTGCTGCCAGCTGAAAACTCTGGAGACAGATGAAGTCCATCTAACAGCTTCAGGTTTACTCTTTGCCTGTGTTGATATAAATACAGAGTTTCAATTCCATATTCATTTGCTTCTTCAAAACAAAAGGCAATTACTTAAAAAGACAGTTCAAACTGCAAGTTGGTACTCAACACTTGGACTATCTGAGAGTGAAATATGTTAATTGGGATTTTTTGTGCCTGTGCAGCAAACTTTGATGATGTGACAAGATACTACTTTTTATCTACTTTTCTAGGGAAAAAAAAAATCACCAAAAAAACCCCCAACTAAACAACCCAAACCCAAACAAAAACAAACAAACAAACAAAACCCCAAAATGCACACCAAAAAACCCCAAAGACAAAACCCCAGTGAACTCCAACCAAGCCAAGAATATGCTGTGATTTTTTTCCCCTCACTTGTTGGCCTCTCTCCCTCAAACATTTTGAACCACCTAGCCACCCCAACTTCTGTTTTACCAGACAGGTGGGAGGGACACAAAGTTCCTACCAGCTGAGTGATGACTGAGGAGATCAGTAGCTAAAATAAGTTACTTGATGTGTTTTTCAGCAGATAAGCAAATTTATGATGCACCTCTGCAGCACTGGCTACAATTGGCTACTGCAGGTGCTGTTTCCTCTCTGCAGGTGCTAAAAGACTGAGCCAGCAGCGCTGCAGGAGAGAGCTGAGAGGATACAGGCATGTACAGCACGAGGGAAGACGAGCAGGGACAGGAAGAATTTTGTGTGAAAGGACACAGGAGCTCACTTTGTCTGCTGCACGTGGCTTAGCTCATTTCCATGGAGTGCCATCCTTATTGCCACACAGACAATTCTGCTCTTGAGGAAGCTATTTCTTGATTGTGTGCTTTTCTTTCTTGTCCTGCTCACCTGCTGCAGAAGATGGAAGCTGTGCAGGATGATGGAATTTAATTCCATCCTAGAGTGACAGGCATCGAACATTACCACTGGTTAACTGGATTCTCCTGCATTCTGGGCTTTACTCCTTTTTTGAGGATGCTGCAGGAGATGCTGCCTCCTCTAACTCTATTGGAGGGGGAGAAGGGCTAAAAGTAGAGGTTTCTGTGCTGGAGTCATTTCTGCTATTTGCTTTAACTACAGGTAATTAAACAGGTTGTAGAAACAGCATGATCTGCTTGTCATTTAGGTATCTGCAGATGTTCTGCACTTCCTCTTGACATTTTACTGAGCTCAAATGATGGCTTTTGCAAGCTCTTAAAGGCTGTTTGTGATTAATGCTTAACAGCTCCTGCATAGCACACAAACACGAAGCTTCTGAGGAACAGAAGACTTTTTCGTGTGGTCAGTTAATTATTTGCATCAGCTTCATATGCAGATCCAGTCTTAGTTTGCTTCATATGCAGATCCAGTGATAGTTTTCCTTATTTTAAAACCTTCATGACTTAGTGATCTTCCTGAAGGTATATATGTGAGCTCTGCTTGCGTCCTAGGAAAAGTGTTCTACATTGCTGTAACTTCTGTGTTTCATCTCAGGAAGCTAGGCTGCCTGTGCATTCCCTTCTCAGTTCAGCAGTGACTGTGGTATGCAAACCAATTAAGTTAAAGGGGAAAATACAGAGAATAAGTGGAAGATGAGAGACGGTAATAAGTATCCAGATCATATTTCCCCTTTCCCTTTCTGTCTCTGTAATTAAATTAAATTACTAAGGTCCGTGGAGATTCATCAATCAACTTCCCATAATGTGATTTTTTTCCCCCTGGCTTTTCTTCCTGCATACTACTTCTTTCTCAGTAGTTAGTGGGAAATTTTATTCTCCAGTGAGGGCTAATTGAGAACAATTAACCATTGGACAACATGCACTGACATTATCAAGCAGAAGAGGGCAGTAAATCAAAAGCAGTATGATTGCTAAAACCTGGAACAGAGAAAGAATCCCCCATCCCCAAAATCTGGAGCTGAACAATACAGGAAGAAATGAATAATCTATGGTTTTTTCCACTGGAGAAAATTTGCTTGATTTTTTTTTTTAATTGTGGTTTGGAGAAAATCCAAATCATACAGATACTTTTCACTCCACTGTTTTAGTAGGTGACTAATTTCCAATGCAAAGTATTTGGTGTGAGAGGAGCCAAACCTGGAGTAAATGCTTAAGGCTTGACAGGTCTTGCCAATGGGAACACAAGGGGGGTGGATGTTTCCATTTAAATTATTAATGAAGTTCAATAAAATCAAAATCACTGCAGTCTCGCCCCTTTTCACTTACTATGAGTATTTGCAGCAGAAGGAAGTTACACAAACTATTCAGTCCTAGTTGTAAATGAAGAGAGAAGGACTTTAAAGTGTCTGAAGTTGTTACTTTATGAGAAAAACCTTAATGGCTTGATTTCCACCCCCTGCCTGTTACCTTTCAGCATGTCTCTTCTCAGAATCTTGTGTTCTGTACCAGTTCTGAGATATCCTCACTCAGCTCTGTCTGTATGAAGACATTTGCTATTTGCAGAGCTTGGCTGTTCCTAAATGAAAAGTAGTTTTCAATGCTGAAATATTATGCTATGGAAAGACAAATATGCCTTTGAGGACAATTAATTTTTACTTTTTCTTTAAGTCAAACTGGTTAGTCCCTGTAAGGAATTTCTTCTTGTAAAACACCACCGTTTCCCAAAGGGTTTCCCTGTATAAGAAGGCTCCCTTGTGACCATTTTGTTTTCTGCTACATCTAAATTAAGAAAACATATATGCCATGTACATTCCATGTATTTTTGAGTGAAAATGAGGTTAAGTCCTCTTCCACACTTATTCTAACTTACTTTTTTTCTTTCTAAAATATTGCAAGTGCTGTATTTTAAAGTCTATCTAATAGGCAGCAACAAACCACTTCTTCCTTTATTTCTGTATAATTCTTTCTGTCTTAAAAGTGAGACAAATTTATTCAAGACTAAATCCTGCCTGCAACAGGCTTGTTTCAGCACTGCATCACTCCCCTGCTCTAATGACATAACTCCCAAGTAATTAGTGGTGTTACAACCCCTGCTGAGGATCAGAAGCTTCTCATGCTCACCTGCTCTACAAGCAAAGTAGCATTGCAGCTTTAAGGAAAGGAGGGGGTGTGCTTGGCTGGGGTTTTTTTTGAGGTTTTGTTTTGTTTTATTTTATTTCCTTCTAACTTGCATGCCATTAAGGGAAAATTATAAAGGAGCTGGTGAATTCAGAAAGGATTAGGCTTAGACATGCAATTTAAAGGCCTTTACTGTAAAATATAAGCTGCTTTAGTAGCATACATTATGAATAAAATCAAGGGGGTAGAAAAGAGTAGTAAATTTGAGTTAAGCTGCCGCTAGTCATGTGTCTTCATAGCACAGAAAATTTGCAACAAGTCTGAAGCTTTGCCTTAATTCTGCTGGATCTGGAATTCTTCACAGATGGAACCTTTGTTTATTTGGTATTTCTCCTTGGCAAAAGAAATATGTGAATCAACAGATCTACAGACCTCAAATTAGTTCCTATATCCCTGCAAAAATAACTCCAAAAGGTAACTGGAACTAGACAATCTTCAGTGTCCCTTCCAAACCAAACCATTAGATGATTCCATGATTTGGGGAAACATCTGACCCTTTTTCATGTAAGAAACAGACATCCACTGGCCCTTTCTGCACTCAGCATATGCAGTGTTGCCTGAGACTGGTACTGTTCCAGTTATCAATAGTGTGTCAAAATAGCCACCTCCATTTGGGATCTGTCCAACTTGGTCCAAACAGAAAACCCTTTTCTGCACTGGGGTACAGCAACTCAAGAATAGGACTCTGTCCAGACTACTCCTGGTTCTTACCATTCCCAGTGATATTTTTCCACCAGCAATAATCTTTGAGCTCTCAGCTCACAATGTTGTTTTTTTTTTTCCTGTGAGGTCTTGGTAGGATCTTAGAGGTCATCTTTTATAAAAGCAAGGCCACTCAAGTGTTTCAGGCTTGTGCTACTGAAGTGAGCGCTTTTGTGACAAACACACGCAACAAAATATCCATCCCAAACAGCCCATCCGGAGTTTCCTTCCTGCTGGCACAGACAGCTCC